TTGAATAAATACTTGATATTTTTCTCTCCTCCTGAATCGAGAATACACTCTAAGTCTAATGAATCCAGGTTCATTCACTCTGAGATCAATTTCAAACGACTCATGATCATCTCTAAGTAGCATATTGTAGTATTTAGGATTTGCCCGCCATAATCAAAATGTGAATTACCCATCGACTTCTGTGTTACAGCATATTAAAGATGCCGCAAATCGTCCAGTGCAAGATGCAATACTCCAGCAGCTGTAAGTGTTCGGGAATTATGTTGATAGTGAGTGCTTGACTTTTTTGTTCACCACCCTGAAAATATCGGTTTCAACTTTGTTAGTTATGAATTAGATGAAGTTTCAATTAGATAGTAGAGTTATATTTATATTATGGAGTTAGGTAATTGAAAAAGTAAATGACCGATTTCAACAATCGAAACGTGTTCTTATCTTTTCCTGTTACTATCATTCCTAAAAAGCTACGAGATATGTCCTTTATAAAGATTGAATGTTAGGCCGACCATCTTCAATATCAAGATGGTGACCACTTTTGTTATGTACACAAAGAAATCAACATTCATCTATCAAACGACCACTGAAATAGGACGAGAAATAACAAAGTAATAACAAAATCAATTCGATTCGGCACTTTGGCAAATACAGTTTTACTAAATACGGCCCTATAGGACAAGGCATGTTTTACAGAGGACAAGTGCTAAAAGACAAATGCCAAGATTTCACTACATTTCTCATTATATTTAATTATAATGGGAGGTACAAAAATCATGGGCTTGAAAAAAAAAGTGTCATTGTTTATTTGGCACCTATACTAAATACGACCCTGAGTGCTGAATCTTTGGTCTTAGAGGATTGGTCACATGAAAACATTTGATCAGAAACTCCATACCTATAACATACGTGAATTTCAGGCAAATCCCACTGTGGGCCAAATCCCACTGTGGGCCAATTCCCTATGGTTTCGTGCGAGGTCCTTTGCATTTAATTTGAATTCACTATTTTTCCGAGGCTGAAAATGAAAAAAATCAAACCAATTCTGTTAATTTGGAATGGGGTGATTTTTTTGCATATGGAGGTTCGAAAGCACGAGGACGAATAATATGAAATTAGTTTTTTTGCAAAGAATTCCTAATATGATTTCATAAAAATCGCCCTATTTTTATTTCGATAAGAAAGCACGGCACTGTCCAACAGGATGTTCGTCTCCGAAAAACTGATCATATTGATAGGGCTTTTCATACCGGTTCCAATTTGGTAAAGATCAAACGTCTAATAGCTTATATCACAGATCTTATATATAGAAGGGGGGGGGGGTTGAAATTAGGCATGGTGTAGAATCCAGTGGTGTACGCGGAATTTTTCAGGAATAATCACTAATATGGATTCTGGATTTTTCTGCCTTTGAATGTGATCCAGTAGGTCTTGGTAGGTAGGTTTTCCAGAAAAATGAACGCCGCTTAGCTCCAAAATACATCTTTCTCCCCTCTACAATTAAAAAAAATGCGAAAATCGCTCCATAAATAAAAATGGGTTATACTGTACATATAAAGTAGTTGCAGAATGGAACATTTCTGCACGTGGAGTGCAAATAGGTCGCCATTTTATTTTTTCATTTGGGACACGCTGTATTTCATTCTTTTAATCGGGAGAACTCTTTCTTCTGATTTCAAACATATATACTTTATTGAGGTTATCTTTATATAGATTTTTTCGTATAAATCGATTTATATCGAAAACGAAAATATTGACTGAAGTTTCGACATCTTCAATCTCGTCAAGTTTTTCCATCTAACATTGACAGTGTTCAATATTTCGAACTGATTTCGTAGGAAGGAATGGAACACATCTTTGAGTCTACTTGTGTGAATTTATTTCATTCCAATGTTCAAATAAGAATCACAATCATTTTTTTCTACATGCCTCTACATACTCAGTTTCTCACGGAAATAGTTGACTAACTTGGAAACCCTGGAGTCAAATATAGAAAACAAAAAACAGTTGTGCAGCAATTTTGACAGTGCATTCGAAAATGCAATTGAAAACAGGGTGTCCCATTTAAAATACTCATCATCAGCCGATATGTTTGAATTTTGTCTATATATCTGACGGTATGACTAATATCAAAAAAGAACACACTATTGACTCACCCTATTTACCAAAAAATGTCTCTATTTTTTTACTATAAATATATTTTTGATTTCTTTTTACCCCTTGTAAAACTATTTTTCCATATCAAATTTAGTCATACATGAAATTTTATCTTTCGAGAATTTATCGTTTAGAAAAGTGACGTAACTTATCAGTCATCAGAATAATGAATATTAAATTTCGTCGCATATGGTCGATTCAATTGGTTTAACAATAGTTATTTATTATACAAGAGGAAAAAAGTATTAGATTGTAGCTCGAGGTTATCTTGTTGTCCCCCGAAGTTTAGCGGAAAGGCAGAAATACGAATCAATATTGAGACGATTATATTAAAATCAGAAAATCATCGACTTGAAATTTGAAGTTTTTAACTGGAATTACATCTACGTTGCAGGGATCTTTTTGTAGGCATCTTTGTCATTGCTTTGAAGTTATCAAATATCTGTCAGTCAAACTCTGCGAAGTGGTTGTTTCGGGATGTATGTAACCACGAGGTGGAATGGAAGATAAAAGGACTTGCAGTTCTTTCTCGGAGACAGTGTTTTAAGGACGTATTGTTGGGATCAAAATAACACTTTTTCTTCATATAAATCAGCGACCGAAGATAAGTTTTTCATTCTCATTTACGAATTATATTCAATTAATTTCGAATATTTCTTGCAAATTCTACAAAAGAAGAAACCAGACCAGAAACCAGCGACCGGTGATAAGTTTTTCATTCTCATTTACGAATTATATTCAATTCAATTCGAATATTTCTTACAAATTTTATATTTGTTGTGGAAGGCGATATATTATAGAATATTTTCAGATAGTCACCTTTATGTCTCAATGGAGACACGACAGGTACCCTCACGAGGGGAGAGTATCAACCCTTGGCATCGATAAACCCTCGTTGCAACCGGGGTAGGTGCCTGATGGGTTAGGTATATACAGTGTTTCTCGTTTAGGAGAAAATTGTTGGCTATCTGTTTCGGTCATTTTTTGAGTAATAGAAGAATATGTCGCGTTTCAGCAACGGAATTTGAAAAATTGTTCATATATATTTCAGTTTCTCATTCCATGTAACTATTATAATTTTAATTATCAAAATATTTAAATTCGAGATATAATAACAACTATGTTTTAGGTCGAAGCAGTCACGAGGTATTAAAAGACGGAAAAATTGTACAGAAGGAGAAACCAGACCAGAATCCAGCGACCGGTGATTCATTCTTATTTACGAATTATATTCAATTCAATTCGAATATTTCTTACAAATTTTATATTTGTTATGGAAGGCGATATATCATAGAACATTTTCAGATAGTCACCTTTATGTCTCAATGGAGACACGACATGTACCCTTACGAGGGGAGACTATCAACCCTTAGCATCGGTAAACCCTCGTTGCAACCGGGGTAGGTGTCTGATGGGTTATGTATATATACAGTTTCCAATTCATTCAAAATAGGAGATTCAATACCAACTATGTTTTAAATCAAAGAGTCATGAGTTTCCCATTATTGTCATGAATTATATTCAATTTATTTCGAATATTCATGGTGCTACCAAGATACTAATAAGCAATTAGATCTCGCTGATTCCTGACAGAATTATAATCGATAATATTGTGAGCACTCATGTCAATACCTCTGATAGTTTTTTTTTATGCCGAGACCGAGCTTTAGTACTCGATTCCATTCTCTTTCTATTGTCATCCTGAAACGAAATTGGATGAAGGTGATAATCATCTGTCCTATACTTTAACTCATAGGAGTGGAGTAAAATTACTGATCCACTTGAAACGCACTAATGAAACAACGTACAACCATGGAAATTAAAATGTATTAACAGTGACTGTTGTCCACACATGGACCGATGTTAGTTTAGAACTTCTTTGCTTGTTGTGGTTGGACTACTATTGTCAGACCATAATTCCACCATGGTCAGACCTGTGCGAATTAAGATCGCAGCGCCAGAACGGCGAAACTGGTACTATTCTATGGACCATTCCTGGATTGTTTATATTTGTTTACAGGCGGTATTATGCTATATTTTCAACGTGTTGAATATTTTCAAACAAATTTATTCAATAACTTCTCAAATGGAACACATGTAAACTAATTTGAACAAAGTTAGACGAAGTATTACATGGCCCATACGTTAGTTATATTCAGGACGACAGAGGGCGTACTCCTTAGCATGTTTCGCCTATGTAGAGAGCTTCCTGCTTCCTCTGTAAGCTCTCTACTGTGACTACACCACAAACCACAAGCAACGAATAGCCTTGGCAACGAATAGCCAACAGACTCTCTATTGTGGAATAGCAGTCCACTCCACTGCACTCGTTCACGCTGAAAAGTGTAGTGAATTGTACAATCAATGACAGCTAAATATCTAGACTGTCTGACGGATTATCCCGACAAAGATTTTCAGCAGTCAGTGAATTTACTGACAGTAGTGACAGTACTGACCCAGTTGATTTGGCAACGTTACAATTTCATGTCATCATATCAATGACGTCAGACGTATGTCAACTTCATACTTCTTCGTAAACGTCACAATTTTAATTTTAATGAATTGTCAAGTATACGCAATTCGCCATTGGAATCTCCGAATATATAAATAAATCAAAAATGTAAGATATTCCTTCCAAGCCACCATTAGAAAATTCTGCTAGAAGGTCTAAATGTTCATCATTCTCCTACAATGATTCCAAACTCGTCAGAATAGACCATTGGTGACCTTAGTAGTGCGTGAAATCAGTCTACATTTTTTGGATTTGAAATGATTCATGTTCATTGTATCTTCGCAGTTATTTGATGAATATGTTATTGTGAAACCATTTATACTTTGTCCTATTCCAGATGAACGCTGATCCAAGAAGACCCGAAAAAGTCCAGAGATATACTGCAAAGGCAAATAATGGAAATGGCCAAGAGGACCTCACCCCAGATTATATGAATATTCTTGGTAAGCATCTCTAATTATTGATATTGTTGGGTAGATCATTTCTGGAACATCAAGATCAACATCTATGGTTGTTAGAGAATTGTATACAATTTTGCTCAAGGCAGAGCATAATATGAGTTTACTGAAAATTCTATTTTGGATTTCTCCTAAGTATAGCATATTTATTTTCAATATATTGGGGTGAATAGTTACATTTTACATTATACCTTGTCAATATCTTCTTCCAGAAAATGGACATATGTTGATACTTTCACACTGCATCATAAATCATCAGAGCCAAGCTTCAGAGTAAGAGTAATAATATTTATTTCATGGTGAATATTTTTGATCAAACATTTTTCCTATTGAAATATTGGTGATTGATAAATAATTGTTCCTACAACTCTCATGAACTTTCCATGTATATTTTGTGAAGCTAAAATATAAAATTACACTTCCTTCATTCTTTTAAATGATAGTGGATAAATATATTGCAGCTATTACATATTATGCTAATAATAATAATAATTTATTTAGTTTAGCTACATTCCAGGAACAATGAGACATTTGTTAGACTATTATGCAAATGATTTCTTCATATTGTTTGATTTTGTAAGCAGTGGTTTGAAGGCACTTATAAGCTTTACCAATTTTGATGCAATTTTCGAAAAGAAGAAGAAAATTGAGCAGTTCATTGATCAATTAATTTATGGCATATCAATAGAAGAAAGTTATAAGAAAGTATTGTTTCCATTTTCACCACACTCTTAGTCCTCTTCATTTTCTATTGTACTTCAGGATTCTTTTGTAGAAGGCTAGTCACTTGTCTTCAATTTTTATCATTTCATTCACCCAGAAACAACAAATCAAATGCTTACCACATTTCAGCTCCTGCCTAGTGGCAGTCTGAGTAGTCCAAGGTCACTAACTCAACAAATCTCATCTTCTGAAACAGTGTTTTCTTGTTGTGAAATATAAAAATTTTGCAATAGTAAAGACATGTTTTGCTTTTCTTATTCAATCATGTGTGCTTATAGTGGTTCCTGAAGGCTATATTCTAGGTAATAGGAGTTCCTACTGAATAAATCAAATCTCAACAATAGCTATTAGAAAATGATAGTTTTCTAAATGAACTCACAGTGAAGAGAATCATGTGAAGTTACATACCCACATGTTTGCAACATAGTTTGGATAATGAAGTAGTTCACAGAGGTTTTGATGATAGCAATTGATTCAAAAGGCTGGCAGGAACCTAACTTAATCTTACTGGGTGTTTCAACAACACCAACATCAGATTTTTAGAAGGGACATACTTACTGTAAATTCATATTTTTTTATTTCAATTGAGATTTTGTATGTATGTAATCATTTGAAATTTGCTGTTTTTATTCAACCATATTCATGAATAGATATTTTATTGACGGCAAGTTTTCCATTATTTTTTGAAGAATGAATAATCATAACTTCAGAAGTGAAATAAACGCCACACGCTTCAACTCCCGCATTTTTCTTCCGATTTCTAAAATAAAGACACAGTTCCAATAGTTTGATAAACACTTCTATATGTGTACAATTTTTTTTCTAAATTATGGCGTGAATTTACGACATTTCATGCGATTCTGAATAATGGAAAAAATACACAAAGAACTGATTTATTTTGGAACTAGAAAAATATCACCCAAATATCAGATGTTTCGGTACAGGGTGTCTCCTTATATTTTACCTACAGCTTCAACTATAGGAGGAGGAAAAAACTTCAAATATGAAAGTTGTGGGGTTTTATTTTGATCTATCCTCTTTAAATAATCAAATGCAAATAGCAAAATTGAAATAACAGTCAAAATCATTTATTTTTAAATGAAACACCCTGTAAATTTTCAACTGTTGTCAAAGATTTTTTTTTCAGTTCACCAATGTACAGTGTGTACTTCTTTTCATGAATACACCCTAATATCTGTTATGAATGATCATTGCAATTTGCTTGAAATAGGTGTGGTGGACAGTTTTATCCACCATTGGCGTGCGATGTCGGGGGATACAAAAACGGCCTTTATTCGTGAAAAGGATATTAGGGCTTATTTTGAATAACATTTTTTATCAGATTCAGAATCAGCATCCCCAAAAACCCCCAATTCATATTTTCATAATCTCAAGAAAAATTCAAAATCCAGCTTCTCATGACAACACCCTAAAATCTCAGCTATGCGATTTTCTTGAAATTTTGATGGTGATTGTATGTTGGAAAAATAGCATAGTGGGATTTTGAAATATTTTTTTTAGCTCTTGGGATCTCGAAAATATGAATTGGGTTGTTGGGGATGCTAAATCCTTATCTTATAGAAAAAGTTATCACAAATAAAGGCCTTTTTTGTACCCCTCAACATCGCACGCCGAACATACAATCACCAAACATATTTTAAGAAAATCGCATCATTCATATAGTAGGAGAGCCGACTGCAGATCCCTACCTTCATCTGATAACAAAATGATATATGTCCCAAAGGAAAGTAAAAACATTGTAGTTAAATGAACGGCACCTGTGCCAATCACTATCCTGAGCAAAATGATGAAAAAATTAAACTGCACTCGATTTCGCGAGTTGATAACGAGATGAGAATTATGCCATCGGATACCAATTGAATGGTAGATCTCAAAAACCTACTTGTGCCACCCATCAGTCTGATCCAAATCCACAGCACCATTATTCCGGGCATACTGCCTTCATGTGATAACAAGTTGAAACAAAAAGCAAATGGAAGGGGAAAATGTCCCTTTTGCCAATATTCAACCATGCCGCGATTCAAACTGATCTAAGTTAGTGGCAGAGCGTGAATATTTCCGTGTATATTCTAGGAAGTATCGACGCTCTGCTTCTAACTTAGATCAGTTTGAATCGCGGCACGTTTGGATATTCGTAAAGGCGACATCATCCCCTTCCATTTGCTTTTTGTTTCAACTTGTTATCACATGACTGAAGAATGTCCGGAATAATAGCAGCAAATAAATCGCTGTGCCGTGTATTTGGCTCAGACTGAGCGGCACAGGTAGGTTTTTGACGTCTACCATTCAATTGGTATCGGATGGCATAATTCTTATCTCGTTACCAAATCGCGAAATCGAGTGCAAATTTCCGCACAGGAAAGTGCAATTTTTTCATCATTCTGCTCAGGATAGTGATTAGCACAGGTGCCGTTCGATGAAGTACAATGTTTTTACTTTACTTTGGGACATAAATCATTTCGTTATCAGATGAACTTTGCAGCCGGCTCTTGGACTAATAACTGAGATATCAGGGTGTCTAGATGAAAACCGGGAAATACTGTATATAGTTTGTTGATGTTTCCTTAAGCCGTTTCCGAGTAAATTCTTGCTGCACTACTGAAATTTTCGCAATATTTTCATAGTATAAACTTTTAATATTTCGTGTTTTTCCTCTATTTAATAAGCCATATTAATTTAAAAACCGACAGAGATGTCAAAAAATGCCTGTTTTGTGTCCATGACATTTCTCGTGTGTCCACAGCCATCTATAAAGGTTATTGGCAACTTTGATTCAATGATAAATATGTGAAAAATGGCTGGAGGAAACATTAGCAAACTAAACAGGGTGTCTCAGGTTTAACTCATCTAACTTTGACAATCGATAGCAAAAATTGAAATATCAGATATGTTTTCTTTTGTTTTGTCGTGGAGAAACTTGTTTTCATTATACGGGGTGTTAAAGTTCGCATACACTTTTTGTTTTTATTATTTATCTCTGTTGAAACAAAACCTAGCGATTTGAAATTATGTGATCACTTTTCTATCGGCAATATCAACAGTCCCTAGCTACACTGCGTGTTATTCTTTTCCAGCCCTCTGAAATGGAACCCATCAGATTTTTTTATTGGGACGCTCGTAATGGATTGAACCTAATGGAAAATCATTATCATTTCTTCAACCTCACTTTGTGTTTTTCATTTGTTTCAATATCGTTCTCATACTCGATTGGTATCATTGAACAATGGTACCATAGTGTGCTTTGGACATTGTTGAATATCGAAAATGATCAATAAAAATTGTAGTGGTTACTGGGTCAATTTGAATGATAATTTGATGTAAGATAAACATTCATGTCAAAAAACTGTTATGCATAGTATAACATTATTTCAAATAACAAGAAATTCAAGAAATATATCGGAACAAATCAAGCGCTAATAGCAAGGTGAATAAAGAGGATCATTTTTCATCAGCTATAATTCACCATTAGCATCCTAATGGAATAAATCTGTAGGGTTATATATCAGTGGATATTAAAAAAAATAATACTCAGTGTTGCTAAGTCCCCTGTATTGATAAGGACTGTTCATACTACCGATAGAAAAGTGCTCACCAAATTTCAAATCGCTAGGTATTGTTTCAACAGAGATAAAAAATAAAAACCACGACTAAACAAAAAAATACGTGTATAATATTTTAATTTTTGCTATCGATTGTCCAAGTTAGACGAGTTGAACCTGAGACACCCTGTATATTTGTGAACTTACTAGAGCTGAAAATATATTTTAAATAAATTATTTTGACTTTTCTATTTTGAGATTCGCAGTTGTTTATTTGGGGAGTGCCGAAAGATAGTACAGATGGAACCCTACAACTTTCATGTTTGAAGTTTTTTCCACCGCGTATAGTTTAGAAGCTGTAGGTAGGGGTCCAAATAAACGGAGACACCCACCAACAATGCAAAAATATTTAGCATTCCATTAAAAAAACATTGTTTCTATGCTCCAGTTGACATTGAAAATAAAACACATTTCAAGAGTAATATGGTGTTTTTCTTTTATATTTTTAAAATCGGATCGTTTGCGTACTATTTTTCCCATGACCAAAATTAACAATTGAATCAAATTCTCGAAACTCAATTCAAAAATCATTTTTTGAAATCATTATTCCTTAATGTTATCAAAAGTGGCAAATGGCACATGGCATTTAGTTTTTCATTTTAAGCAGAAAAATATATCCATTCAACAATCCAATGTTTGTGTCATTCCGGATAAATTTCGGGATAAATCGTGCTCAAAAAAGTTATGTCATGATTGTTAGGTCAAATATTTCGTCAAAAGTTTATTTTTATATCTTCAAAAACAGAGAAGTACGAGCCACCCCTTACCGAATAATTATCCAACTTGTCTGAAGAGATAATTTTTTTCTACATTGGAACAAAAAACGTGGCATGGAGGACGTGGCTAAACTTCAAGAAAATGTGAAAAAACATGTTTTTTTCATAATAGTTCGTTAATTAAAAAAGTTTTGTAAATCGTCATTTACTTTCCCTCTCATACATCTTCTATGGAGAAAAAACATTCCATGTTTCGCCTATTTCATGAAATTCATATATGTATTATGTTCTTCAAGCTTGAAGAATAAATATAAAATAAGCCACCAACAAAGCTACTTTTTGTTATTCATGACCATACTATTATCAATAATTATAATCAGTATATTATTGCCGGTGATTCTGGTAAATATTTAGTGCTTGATGCGACGAAAATTTGTGGACTGTGACGCAGGAGTGCAAATTTTCAGGAACAATTAGCAAGATATATCCCCCAGAATTACCAGGAAACATTAGACGAATGAAATATATCATGCATGCCAATTGCAATAAATCACAATCGACACTCACAAGCGATTTATTGATACAAATCATTGGGGATTGGTTGAAAGTTCCCAAATGCAGTTGAATGATTGATGGAGTGACAGTTTAGTAACTATCACATCCGATTGAACTGTTCTTAAATTGGTGCATGAGAACTTTTTCAGTCTGAGGAAAAATGTTATGAAAAATTTACTTGAAAATAAAAAGAATCAGAAATTAAACTGATAGGTATGCAAAGAAGCAAATTAAAGAAAGCATCATCATCAAGATGATCCGTAGTCACACTAAAAACCGCCGTATTGAGAGAGCATGGGTACCACATTTAACGACCTCACAGTATTGTAGTCGAAAAAAATTATCTTATGACTTTCCGTAGGTCAGCACCAGACCACGGGAAATGCGGTGGAAGCGTCGGAGAAGCATGTCGACTCGAATGCCGAACCTAACCTCCAACCGCACACCGAGGCGGTACCGTCAAACGCCGATGAACACGCAGCGACTACCAATGCTACGAATGTGATACCCCCAAGCCCTCAGTACGGCGTAGCCATAATATCGAACGCCCCTGCCTCCGCGGATCAACCCGCAGAAACGACTCCCACAGAAACCCTGACCGACACCACGGCCAAGTCCGAAGACAAAGAACTCCATTCCACGCCGAGTCGCAACGACAGATTCAAGGTCGTGAAGATAGCCAGTCTGGAGCCCTTCAAGCGGGGCCGGTGGAAATGCATGGATTACGTGGACGAAGCCCCGCCGGCGGGGGCTGCAAGGGTTCCGCAATCCACGGGCAGCATACAGAGCACCGGTGGCTCATACATGCATTCCCAGAGTTTGCCCCAGCAACAGATACAACAGATGTTGCTGCAAGGCGGCTTCACCAACGGTACACAGTTTTTCACTAACATGCCACAGCAAATGGTGCCTCAGGGACAATATTTCTACTCCCAAATGGCGAATGTTCCCAATCAACAAATGGGAAATGCTCCTAATAGTATCCCGGCACAGTTCATCGGGAATCAAGCATTTTTCCCTGCTGGAGTCGTCCAAAACTCCCCGGGGTTTTTAGCACAGACTTTCCCAAACGTCCAATATGTCCCTAACGTGATGCAGAATCAAAGTGGCACTTTTCTACCGATATCACAAGCCGGGCAGTTCACACAGAACTTTCAGCAGAGCCAATCCTATGCGGGGCAACCGAATGTTGCGCAATCGGGGGTCGCTCAACCCATGGTGAATGGGCACACCTACAATCCTCAGAACGAGCAACAGGTGGCCGGTAGCTTGCCCGCGCAGTCCGTCAAAAGTATGTTGCTCAACACGAATAATCCTCCGCAGGTCAGTAGCCAAACGCAGATCGCTCCACCCAACATGCAGAACCATATACCCATTCAAAACAACCCTGCCGTCAACCAAACGCCACAATATCAACAGAACACCTTTCAACAGCCTGTGACGGTTCAGCAGCCGCAAAGTCAACCGGCCCACAATGTGGCGCCCACGCAGGTACACCAAATCAATCCTGCGGTACAAGTGGGTCAGCCTCAACCTCAGAATTTGGATCAGACTTTAGCCAGCAACATGTACACCAACCCCAAGTTCGCAGTGAGTGTCAATAGCCTGGCTGTTTTAGATAATAGTGATAATACGACTGAAGTGAACGAGACTAACAGTGGAGCAGAGACTGTGGCTGAACATCATGATGACCCGGCCAAAACCAATCCGGTGGTCAACGCCATCGACAACAAAATCGAGCAGGCCATGGATCTGGTGAAGAGCCACCTGATGTACACAGTAAGAGAAGAGGTGGAAGTACTGAAAGAGAAAATTGCAGAGCTGATGGAGAGGATTCAGCAGTTAGAAACTGAGAATAACTTTCTGAGATCGCAAATACCGAAGGCACAAAGTGTATCGGCAGCACCGCCTGCTACGATACTTCCGCAACCTGCGGTCATTACAAATCCTAGTCCCAACTTTATCCCCAATTCGAACACTAACCCTGTCGCGAGTAGCGCTCCTGTGACGAATCCCAATCAGAATAACGCCCCCATCACGCAGGGACACTCTTTGCCTCCCACCGATGCGATAAACCAGCAATAGTTGTATTTCATTTTTTATATTTATGTATAATTCCTTGTTATTGAACCGTCAATAGTATTTTCATACATGGATCAGTTTGACAGTCATTTCTACCTGCTTCAAATTTGTCTGGCAATAGGTTCAGCTTATAGGAACTAGTTTGGTATAGTTTATGTCATCTTCTTATTCAATGATATTATCGACTCATACACGTCTGAGGTCTGCTATAGACGACTAATTTAAGATTGCAGCGTCTAAGTGGTCTATTGCAGAACTATTTGAAAGTACATTGTCTTGAAATGGTTCATCTGCTTGTGTGAAGGATTTGAATTCTCTAGTATTGTTATAAGCAAAGGAAACTTTAATTTTGACTGTTTGTTTGTGTACTCTCGTGAAATTTTTCCAGGGGATATTGGTTCAATAATATTTATTTATGTACCAAGGACAAAAAACGTTCTAATTATAGTCGAGCCTGCAAATTGATAGTCAAGGCTAGCAATCAGGCGAGACAATAGGCAGTTTTTCGCCGAGGTGCATATTACATTTTTTCGTCGACCTCAACACTTTATTCACACCATGATCTCATTCACCTGTGAAATCTATCGGATTTCGCGAATAATCAATTTGACAACATCAAATGACAGTTGACAGTTGTCAACTCAATCGGCTGATCATACAGACTTATAGAGTTCACAATTCTGTGTATGATCATAGTGACCACAGCGGACGAGAAGTACTTGCCTTCGGAAATGGTCGATTCTTCGTTTGGGAATTAGTACGTAAAAGGTATTTCAAATACATGAAAATAAAATGAAAAATGGCTTAAATTTGAAGTTTCCTACCTTAGTAATTCATTAGAAAGTGGATGAATTTCAAAAACCTTGTTACTTCAAATGGAGTAAATATGATGTTGAATATCATGGAGTGGGTACACGAGTATGAAAAAAAAAGTTGTAAGGGTTGTATGTACCTGTGAATAATTCAGTTCATCTACCCAGGAAGAATTTACCTCATGTGCTTTGCTTTTGAGTATGGAATGAATTTCTTAACATCATTTGGAAATGTTCACTTTTGAGAATAAAGTTAAGTTGAATTCCTTAACACAATTGAAATAATAATTTTAATCACACTGATTGAAATAATCATTTCTGTGAAATTCAGGATACTCGACTGGAGAATTCAAATCCGGAAAAAATCACAATGGCCACAATAACCTGCATGGCAAACTGAATTTAAACAAACATTCATAGTACTTTCTATTAGTTACCTGAATATCCTCAAGAAGGCGTTTAGCTTATTTTGAATCGCCTATGGTAGAACCGGACCAGATGGTCGATTGGACTGTATCTTTGGTTCAATTCGTATATAGATTTAAAAAATGGACTTACGTATGTGGCGTATGTTGGAGTGAGGTAACAAATCCTATACAAATGAACTTGAGAAGATACCCTAAACGCTGGCTGTTTAATACGTTTAAGAACGATGATATGTACTGTGAATAGAACATCAAGTATTATTTGAAAAATTCCTCTGAAAGGTCGATTTTCTATTTCCTAGTAGCATTTTCTGAACAAGGGAGATTATAGCCATACAGTGAAAATTGAAAATTTTGAGGGTTTCATTATTCTCTCTCTTGTATTTGTAGTAGTTTGACATACCCTCATCAAACCTCCTGTTGTCGAATTCGTTATGATTAAACCAAATATGGGATAAAATACTTAGTTTCCCTTTGTTTTAATCAAATTATAATAATACTTTACACAGATTGTTTATCGAATCGTTACATATAGGAGTATTAAGAAAGGATGGCATTTGGCAATATCTTAGTGTCGGTTTTAAATATCCCTAGTGAAGACATATAGAGAAAGATCCCATGAACGCCAGACCTTCGTTATTTTATAAAAGCTTCTCTACACGTTTCTTATCGCACGCTCATACACAGGTAAGACCGATGGGCAAATATGAACCATGGCCTAGGTGCGTTCGTGATGCTACAGGGAGCAAAGGTGCCAAATATACCTTATATTTTATTCGGGATATCATTAGAAACCACGTCATCCATTGCCAGACACGTTACCATGGTGGCTACCCCCTTGCCAGACACCCTTGAACCTTGATGAATTATTGTAACTCAACTTTCGTTTGAAGTATAAAAGCTGAATTTTATACATGTTACTTGGGTAACATTTAGATGTTTCCTTAGTAGCCATACTGTTCTGGTGGTGCTAACCCCTAGCCAGACAGACATACAGTGCTTTCGTAAAGTACTGAATAAAATAATTTTTTAATTTCTAAAGAATCTTTTGAAATAGGTCGATTTTTAATTTCAATTTGCCACATTCATACGGGGAAATTGAATGTACAGGGTGATCCACGTTTGAATTATCATGTCCGCGTCAATTATTTCGAATGGAATACCCTATATAATATATTGTTCAATTTTTGAAAGCTGAATTCGAACATATATCACATGGGGTTTGTATACAGTGTCATCAAGGATTCTCGTAAAGTAGCGTTCATTTTTAGAGAAACTATCGATTTCTAAGGAATCTACTGAAACAGCTCGAATTTTATCTCATTTTTCCTCATTTGTGAGAGAAATTTGAATACACAGAGTGATCCACGTCTGATTCATGACGTCCGAGTTGATTTTTTCAGCCTTTATATCAATAAATTTTTGGAATATCCATGGGAAGCTGGATTCTTTGTTCTTTCAAAGTAAGTGAGAACTTAGTATAAAATTGAAGAGATAATTCTTGAAAAAAACGCTCGAAGCTGTCCAAGAATATTATTAGTTGGGCTTTCTTTAAAATTTATCAAATTTCTCACGAATTTATCCACTATACTTTAAGAGGACACCGAATTCAACGGACGCAATGTATACAAACCTTGTGAATTCAGATTCCAAAAATTGAATAATTCCATTCCATTTGAAATAATTGACGCGGACATGATAATTCCAACGTGGATCACCCTATATATTTAATTTCCCTGTATGAATGTGGCAAATTGAAATTAAAAGTCGACCTATTTCAAGAGATTCTTCAGAAATTGATAGTTTGACTGAAAATTCATTCATTCAGTACTTTACGAAAGCAATGTATGTCTGGCTATAGGGGTTAGCACCACCAGAACGGTCTGGCTAGTGAGGAAAGGAAACATCTTCCAATTGTTACTCAAGTAACATGTATAAATTGCAGTTTTTATACTTTAACGAAAGTCAAGTTACAATTCATCTAGGTTCAAGGGTGTCTGGCAAGGGGTAGGCACCATGGTGACGTGTCTGGCAATGGATGACGTGGTTTCTAATATTATCCCGAATAAAATATAAAAAAATTACCCTTTACAGTATGACGAAAGTAGGTTGATATTTTCAGCACCTTTGCTCCCTGTAACCTGCCAAAGGCAACATGACCTAAACTTCATATTTGCCCATTGGTCTTACCCGTGTTGGGAGCATGCACTAAGAAACTTTCAGCTGTTATAAAATAATTGAACTAATACGATACTCAATGATGTTGTCCTTATATGTAACGATTCGATTAACAACCTGTATATGTGTAACATGAACAATTCGCCTTCAAGAATTGAAATTGACTTGTCTAAGCATCTAAGGATTTTTTTGAGTAATACTGGATAAGTACCTGATTCATTGAAATTGTTCAGTACCAGTGTTTCATGATTAATAGTGGATGATACAAAGAGCTACTTATTTCATAAACAAGTTTGGCTCTTTTGAAATATGCAGACAGTTACTTGTTATAGTCCAAAGAACTTTGTCCAAAGTGATGTTTTCAACAGTGACATCACGATGTTCTGAATTCAGTTACTTTGTAGGTTCACGAAAGTGTGATATGGTGCAACACCACGAGTCCGCTATGGCAACACAATTGAGTCTAGAGACAGATTATGAGAAGATATTAAGAACATAGTGGTATTTTGATAGATATTTCACGAAGGATGAGAAGCATTTATAATCAAAGCGACTAATTCTGACGTCTACAGCTACAATTATTTTTTGTCAAACTGAAACTGCTTTGCCATCCATGTTACATCTTTGAAAACAATATGCTGATAGATCAATCAGAATTAAAAGACGAGTTTTTAAGATGATACAATTGTCTTCGGTTTGGGATTGGTTTGATTATGTGTGAATTTTGAAAGCGATAGAATATTAATGAGAGGTACTTTCATTTCAAACCAAGATAGCTATTTAACATTTAGAGCTCAATATACATAGGTTGGAACTGTTCATTCCATTCCTTAACTCAAATCCCAAATGACTGTGAGATCGAATCCTATTCAGTTTCTTTTTTTATACCAGCAAGCTTATCCATCGCATTTTTTGCATAACATCAAACATCAAAAATATAAATGGTCAGGCTATTTAGTTCAGTATTTAATCAATTTGTATTGGGACCTAAGCACCCTTGAACATTCTAGGGTGATTCTTGAAAGAAAGAAATGCCAAAATGCGGAATAATTCATATAAATGTTTCCAGGTATATATTTGTGTCCTGAATAGCTCCTCTAAAGTCCTAAGAGCATATTCGCTCAACAATTTTCAACACTCTAAAGATGCTAACAAACGATTTTTCTCGGTAAATATTGATTTTACGCATAAACCTACTCATTAATTTTTTCAAGGCTGGCCCTGAAATAAAACTTATTTTTATCATGTCAATCGTCACCACTGCTGTGGACAAAGATCATACAAACCAAATAGTATAGGGTGGTTCATAAGTTATGATCAATCAATTGAATAAATTTTGAAAATTAATGAATCACCCTGTATATTGCTTATAAAGAATGATAGATCTATGGAATATGGATTATTTAGAAGCCCCTCGGTGTCCTCCATCTACCCTTACTGTATGCGCATTTCCCAATTAATCACCCTGTATAGGGTTTAATTATTAGAATCAATACAATTATTATTTTCCTCGGAAGTCATGGATGAAGATTTATTACATAATTATACAATATTTGGACGAAGTCCATGGTAACTCAAAGGATGTAGT